TTTTTTTTTTTTTGGCACCAGGGATCAAACTCAGGGCCTTGCACTTGCGAGGCAGGTGGCAAAACCACTGAGCTAACTCCCTGGCCCTAAGCAACTATTCTAAAACAGTGTTTTTACAGCAGGAACTGTGGGTCCAAATGAAAGGACCATCAGGAAAGGGACACCTGTTGTGATGACCTAAATCTTAAATTTGAGCTGCTACTGCTGCCCTTGCTCTATGAGTGTTCAATAAACAATAATGGAATGATCAATTGACTACTTACTTGTCATCGACAGAGCTGTGCGATTTTACAAAATCTTTTGCTCAGATTCGCTAATGCATTGCTTTTAACTAAATTCTTTTGAGAATCAACTAAACCAAGGCTCAAATCTGAATGTGAGATTCTATCCACAGTCTCCACATTCTCTCCAGCTGACTTCTATGATTCAGGATGAAACCCTTTGATTGTGGTGAAACTGGTGCCAGGTAAACTTTTGCAGCCACACAGATAGAAACGGCAACACAGCAAAGGTTTCCATTATCTATCTATTCATCCCTATAATTCTTGTTGTTTGTTTGTACTAGAGATTAAATCCAGGGCTTTTATACCAAGTTATATCCCCAGGCCCCTTTTTTTAAAACAGGGTCTTGCCATGTAGTTCTGGCTGGCCTTGAACTGTGTGATATAAACTGGCCTTCAACTTGCAAGATTATAGGCATGCACCACCACACCCAGTCCTGAGACCTTTTTTAAAAAGTTTTTTTATTATTTTAGACAAGATCTTGCTAAGTCACTAAATTACCCAGGCTAGGCTTAAACTTGCAATCCTCCTGTCTCAGCCTCCCAGAGTGCTTTATAGGTAGGTATGCATCAGCATGCCTGAATCTATTAACTCATTTCTATAATCATTATTATTATTATTATCATACCAGGGATCAAACTCAGGACCTTGCGCTTACAAGGCAGGCAATGCATCACTGAGCTAAATCCCCAAACTTCTATAATTATTCTTAATACCATGTAAACCCAGTTACATTCTAAGGAAATAGAAGGCAAGCTCCCTTGGTGTCTGTGTGTGTGTAGATGAGTGTAACACCCTTTGGTGGTATTTTGAGTATTTCTCACAAGTCATGAACACTTTAGTACCATCGCTGGATGAGCTATTCCCATAAGAGGATCTGTCAATAATATTCACATGTTCTTTATGTTGTTATATTTTTGTTTTATGTAGTGTGAAATCACAGTAAAAGTCAAGAACCACTTACTACGGTGATGTCTGACTGAATCTGTCACCTTTATGTTGCCGGGCACAAATACATGACCATACACAACTGGAGGGGGGAGAGTTGTCTTAGTCACTTATCTCTCTTGCTAAGACAAGATACCCAGTACCCAAAGTTAAAGGGGGAAA